GTCCTAAATGCGTGCTATGTGGTGACAGGACGGATCAGTTTCGGTTTTCGGTTTTGGGGCTTTAGGGTTAAGGGCTTCTGGATGTTTGGGTATCTCTGACGAGAAGGCAAACCGCTTGCGGTTTGGGGTTCAGGTGGTATAAGCCTGGCCTACTACTTGCTTAAGAACCCAAAAAAAAAACAAATATTCTTCCTTCTTAAGGCCAATATAGGGATCATTTTTTTTTTTGATTCTTTTGGGTTCTTAAGCAAGCGGTAGTGGCTGAGGGTTGGGGGTTCAAGGGCCCAATGCCCGTGAAGTTCGCAGGTGCGAACACCAGCTGGGGCCCGGCCTCGAAGCCTGCAGAGACCAGGAGCCACGACTACCAGGGCTTAGGGTTTAGGGTTTAGGGTTTAGGGTTTAGGGTTTCGGGTAAGGATCTAGGGTTTAGGGTTTAGGATTCAGGGTGCAGGGTTTAGGGTTTAGGCAAATATGACGAAACTTCCCCTGCATGGTTCGAACTTCCCCCATGGATGGTCGGGAGGGGAATTTGCGGACACTCAGGTTCATGGGTTTAAGGGCTTGCAGGGTTTTAGGGTTTTTTAAGGGATGGGGTTTGGGGTTTCAAAAAGGTTTTGGCATCCCTTCGCGTTCTTTGAGCTTCTTCCTGAGCGGGTTGGAATACTCAAGGCTAAGCCCTTCATCGCCTGGCCGTTTGGGCCATGTGGTCAGTCTCAGGGTTGCCGCATCCCTGGTGCTAAAACCCTAAGCCCCAAACCTTACCCATGTTCTCCAAGGGGGTGTGAGTCAGGGGGCTACTGGAACAGCAAGACTCTGCCGTCTAGGGCTGAGACTCTAGATTTCAGGTTGTGTCAGGTACAAGGCAGTAGGAATCAATATCAGGGCCTCCTGAAAGATGAGCCAAAACCAGCCTCCGCATGAGGACGGATTGGCTGCTGCGATCTCAGCCATGAGGGTAACCGTACCCTGAGTGACCCCAGTTTAATGATCGGGTCAGGGTCTATAGTTTAGGCTCACCATGGAATTGCCCTTGGAATACATTCTTTAATGGCGTACGGGGTTTGTCCTAGGTAAGCCCTAAAAATAGGCATACCCTATCAGCATCGAGTAGACGAGACCTAAAGCCTGCAAACTTAGAAGCACCAAAGTGTTAACACATGAGCCTATAAGCTCTCATCCCAGTGGAAGCTTGTCTTATGGGCTTGCGGACACCGAGCACATAAGTCTCCCTTCCTAGGCGTCACCTGTGCAACCTGGCATGTGGAAAAGCGGATTTAGAGGGGGACAATCCCTTTGTGAGGGCAGAAAGCCTGCTCTAGTTTGGCAGGGCTAGTGCGCCAAGATTCCAGAGCCCTAAACCCTAAACCCTAAGCCCCAAACCCTAAACCCTGAACCCTAAACCCTAAACCCTAAACCCAAGGGACGCATTTGTTTTCATTGAAGTCCTTGACGGCCTCAGTAGCTGTCTTGCAGCTTGGGTGGCTCTTTTCGGGGCAGGGAGGGTTTCGGGTTGAGGGTCACGTTAAGGGTTTAGGGTTTATAGGGTTTGGGGTTGAGGGTTTCGGGTTGAGGGTCGCGTCAAGGGTTTAGGCGTGTTGCTGCAGTGACCTAGAGACCTTAAAGGGGCCCACAAGATCAGAGACTCGAAAGGGCCCCAGAATGTAGATCCCTAAACCCTAAACCCTAAACCCTAAACCCTACACCCTACACCCTATAAACTTTAAACCCTAAACCCCAACCCTAAACCCTACACCCTATAAACTTTAAACCCTAAACCCCAAACCCTAAATCGCCTCTCATGTCAAGGCAGCCGGCGGATGCGGCAGAGGCGGTGTCACTCGCCGCGGCAGCTGGCGCTGCAGCTTTAGGGATTCGGGGTCAAGGTTTGGGGTTTAGGGTTTAGGGTTTAGGGTTTTGGGTTTAGGGGTTGGGGCTAAAGGGTTTGGGGTTTTAGGTATGTGCTTAGAGCTACAAGGGCCCGAGTCAAGGCAGTGCAGAGTTATGGAACACTGATTCCTCAGCCGCCCAGAAGTGGAGCTGGCTGTCTACGTGGCCAAACTCTTGGGGGTTTGCCCTGAACCCTAAACCCTAAACCCTACACCCTAAAGGGTTTGGGTTTAGGACCCTCAGTCGGAAGCGCTATAGACCTTGTAATTAAGGCCTATAGGGAGCAAAACAGGACGGAGGCTCCCAAGCGGGTGCTGTCTCCTAGCATCCACATAGTGAGCATTCTCGGACAACCTGTTATCCGAACAAAACCCCCTAAACCCTAAACCCTAAACCCTAAACCCTAAACCCTAAACCCTAAACCCTAAACCCTAAACCCTAAACCCTAAACCCTAAACCCTAAACCCTAAACCCTAAACCCTAAATGCTCTATACCCAAAATGCCCTGAACCCGAAGCCGAGGCGGAGCTGCTCCCTCTCAGCCTGCTGGCGTCCGCTGCGGGATCGGCGGCAGCAGCTGCTGCCGAGGAAGGAGGTCCCTCTGGGCTTATAGGGTTTAGTAGGGTTTAGTAGGGCTTAGTAGGGTTTAGTAGGTTTTAGTAGGGTTTAGTAGGGTTTAGTAGGGGTTTAGTAGGGTTTGGTCGGGTTTTGGGCTTATAGGGCTTAGGGTTTAGGGTAGGAAGTATGCCCAATAGTTAAGGTACGGATTTTTGTTGAATGGCATACATGTTACTCTAGGTAGGGTTGGGCGGGGGGGGGGGGGGGGGGGGGGGGGGGTCTTCGGCTTTTGCGGAGTCTTCGGCAGGCTTTGCAGATTTTTCTCAGAGATTGGGTGGCGTGCGAGTCTTCCCTTAAGAACCCAAAACCTACTTATTTGCAGGTTCTTAGTATAAAGCACTTCTTCGGTAACCTACAAAAATGTAGGTGTTGGGGTTCTTAAGGTCCTTCATGCGGCTGTATGGAGGATAAGCTGCAGATTTTTGCACTCAGAGTCATGATGTTGTGCAGAAAGGCTGCTGCTACTTAGGGCCGTGAAGGCTCAGGTATAAGACCTTTAGCGCACCTCCCAAGCCCTAAGCCCTGAACCCTAAACCCTGAACCCTCACCGTATGAACCTTACAAACCCTGTAAAACCTAAAACCCCATCAACCCTCTAAACCCTCTAAACCCTCTCAACCCTCTCAACCCTCTAAGCCCTGTATAACCCTGAACCTTGAACCCTGAACCCTGAACCTTGCCTGTTTCGGCTGAGAGCCCAATCTCCTATCTGTTCCCTGATTTCCCTTGACTTGGGTTTTGGAGTGCTATACTTTAATGTTTTTTTTGGTTCTGGGTTCCTTGTATAGCTCCCGATTATGCTTTAATGTTTTTTTTGGTTCTGGGTTCCTTGTACAATACCTAAAAAGCATTTCACTTTCTTCCCAGGACCTAGTCCAAAGTAGGGTTGAACACCTCCCGCTCGTCATAGGAAGCCGGGGAGGTCTCATAGGCAGTCATAGTTTGGGCTTGGGGTTTGGGGTTCAGGGTTTAGGCCTTAGGGTGTATGGTTTAGGGTTGGGATAGCTATACAGTAGTCATAAAGGGGGTTAGAAGAACCTTCAAGTGGAGTTCTGCGTAGGGTAGCCAAAGCTCTACTTGTTGCAGCCCGGTTTGGGGTTTCTGAATAACCCAGCGGCCCGAAGTCAGGGTAAGGCCTCCACTCCAGAACTAAGACCATGGGCTCCATTCTCCGATTTCCCTACTATATACGGTTTAGGGTTTAAGGTTTAGGGTTTAGGGCTATAGACCATGAACCCATTTTCGGGTTTCTTTGGGCCCCCAAGGTACCTTATGAACCATCGCTAACGTCAGACAGCACTTGAAAGAGCAATTCAAGCGACTACAGGATGGACCCTGAGAAGGGGCCTGGAAGGTTCTTCGTTTTTTTTGTTTTTTTGCTACTTGGGTATATAGGGACTATATAAGGTTTGTACAGGGTTTATGTAGGGGAATAAGATTAAGGGTCCCTTCTAGGGGTCCCTCTTTGTACCCCTTCAACTTGAAAGAGCAAAGGCTTCACTGCTCAGCAAGTCGTTCGTGCAGCTGGCGCCTTCGGCAGGGTTTAGGGTTTATAGGGTTTAGAGTTTAGGGTTTAGGGTTTAGGGTTTAGGGTTCAGCATCAACACCGTAAGGCAGTGTCCGTTCAGCATCGGAGGTTGGAATCATGTTGTGGTTGCATCCTGAGCGGCGAATTCCTAGTCGCACGTGGGCTCTGCATGTGGCGCCAGAAGTAAGGTGCCACTCTCTCTCTCTCTCTCTCTGGCTCTCTTTTTCTCACTAGTCACCAGGCACACTTCAGAACCAACTGCTTGACATGACATAGGCCCTAGGGCCACTTACGTCGCAGTGCCCAAGCTTTACACGTCAACCCCATGTGCCACCGCAACAATGCCGTAGAAAGCCGCCCCCCCTCCAAGTTCATGTGAGTCCCTGACTGAATTATTCTTCTCTCAGGGGGAAGACATAGGGATGGACACTCTATGTTGCGTGCACCAAACCCGCACGACAATATCCTTGTGATACAGTCCGGGGCTCATGTATGGATCTTCTCCGGACCTTACTTGTAAGCCTCTGAAAAACAAGAAGCATAAGGGCCCAAAACTCTCCCCTGAAAAGGCCTAAACCTTAAAGCCCTTCAACCCTGAGTCACGACCAGATTTGGCACTTGTGGGCACTTTTCGGGATCTCTTTTAGCACCAAGACAGGTGCCCCCAATATTCGGATCAAGCCTTATTGAGGGCCTTGCTCATCTACAGACCAGGTGCCGGAGCGGCCGTAGCAGCTTCCGCCTTACCGAGCGAAGACCAAGCAAGAAGCTTGGGCTGCTTCATGTTTCCTTCAACGGTTCGGCGTGTTAGGTCCCTTGAGATTCGAAGGTGCTTCCCTGCACCGTAAGTTTGCCGAGCCCGGCAAGTTAGTGCACATGAACAAATGGTGCGGGGTCATTTCTCCTGCAACACGAACACCCTAAAATCCCAAGCTCGTCCCTCATCCCAAACCCTGGCGCTGGTTGTATGTGTCAACTGTCAGGATTGGCAGGCCAGGCTGCGGCAGAAGCGGCCTCTCACACAGGCATGCCAGTGGAGGAGGCCGCCCTGGCCGCTGGAGCAGCTGCGGCAGCGGCCGCAGCAAACGCAGGCTTGCCTGCGCAGAGCCAGGCGTCACTCGCAGGATTAGCAGCTGCAGCAGCACTAAGTGGCGCGAATGCTACAGTGCAGCAAGCGGCCGAGCTGGCTGGGGCTGCAGCAGCTGCTGCGGCCGTGGCTGCAAACATGACCATGGCGAACATCTCGTATGCAGCCGGACTTGCAGCAGCCGAGGCAGCAAGTGGTGTAGGCGTTAGTGAACAGACAGCCTTGGCAGCCACTGCTGCAGCATCTGCTGCGATCCAACATGGCGACGCGAGTTTGCAATCTCAGACACTGCTGTCAAGTGCAGTTGTAGCGGCAGTCCTTGCCAGTGCCGGCGTCAGTGGACCAGATGCAGCTCTGATCAGTGGTGCAGCCATTCAGGCAGCCTTGCTCATGAATGTCAAATGTTCCGCAGAGATTATCCGGCAAGTGGGTGGCGCAGTAATGACCACAGTACAACCGACGAACTTGAGTGCCGGGGATCAAGCAGTGCTTTCAGGACAAGCGGCAGCGGTCGCGGCTGCTAACTGCAATATGTCCGCCGTCTTACAAGCAGAGCTCGCCGCCGAGGTTGCAGCAGCAGCAGCGGCACTGGCCAACCTTTCGGTTGAGGAGCAGGCCTCGATTGCAGGGCAGGTTGCAGCATCTACAGCCTCTCAAGCAGGCGTGACAGGGGAGGAGGCCGCCCTGGCCGCTGGAGCAGCTGCGGCAGCGGCCGCAGCAAACGCAGGCTTGCCTGCGCAGAGCCAGGCGTCACTCGCAGGATTAGCAGCTGCAGCAGCAGTAAGTGGCGCGAATGCGACAGTGCAGCAAGCGGCCGAGCTGGCTGGGGCTGCAGCAGCTGCTGCGGCCGTGGCTGCAAACATGACCATGGCGAACATCTCGTATGCAGCCGGACTTGCAGCAGCCGAGGCAGCAAGTGGTGTAGGCGTTAGTGAACAGACAGCCTTGGCAGCCACTGCTGCAGCATCTGCTGCGATCCAACATGGCGACGCGAGTTTGCAATCTCAGACATTGCTGTCAAGTGCAGTTGTAGCGGCAGTCCTTGCCAGTGCCGGCGTCAGTGGACCAGATGCAGCTCTGATCAGTGGTGCAGCCATTCAGGCAGCCTTGCTCATGAGTGTCAATTGTTCCGCAGAGGTTATCCGGCAAGTGGGTGGCGCAGTAATGACCACAGTACAACCGACGAACTTGAGTGCCGGGGATCAAGCAGTGCTTTCAGGGCAAGCGGCAGCGGTCGCGGCTGCGAACTGCAATATGTCCGCCGTCTTACAAGCAGAGCTCGCCGCCGAGGTTGCAGCAGCAGCAGCGGCACTGGCCAACCTTTCGGTTGAGGAGCAGGCCTCGATTGCAGGGCAGGTTGCAGCATCTACAGCCTCTCAAGCAGGCGTGACAGGGGAGGAGGCCGCCCTGGCCGCTGGAGCAGCTGCGGCAGCGGCCGCAGCAAACGCAGGCTTGCCTGCGCAGAGCCAGGCGTCACTCGCAGGATTAGCAGCTGCAGCAGCAGTAAGTGGCGCGAATGCGACAGTGCAGCAAGCGGCCGAGCTGGCTGGGGCTGCAGCAGCTGCTGCGGCCGTGGCTGCAAACATGACCATGGCGAACATCTCGTATGCAGCCGGACTTGCAGCAGCCGAGGCAGCAAGTGGTGTAGGCGTTAGTGAACAGACAGCCTTGGCAGCCACTGCTGCAGCATCTGCTGCGATCCAACATGGCGACGCGAGTTTGCAATCTCAGACACTGCTGTCAAGTGCAGTTGTAGCGGCAGTCCTTGCCAGTGCCGGCGTCAGTGGACCAGATGCAGCTCTGATCAGTGGTGCAGCCATTCAGGCAGCCTTGCTCATGAATGTCAATTGTTCCGCAGAGGTTATCCGGCAAGTGGGTGGCGCAGTAATGACCACAGTACAACCGACGAACTTGAGTGCCGGGGATCAAGCAGTGCTTTCAGGGCAAGCGGCAGCGGTCGCGGCTGCGAACTGCAATATGTCCGCCGTCTTACAAGCAGAGCTCGCCGCCGAGGTTGCAGCAGCAGCAGCGGCACTGGCCAACCTTTCGGTTGAGGAGCAGGCCTCGATTGCAGGGCAGGTTGCAGCATCTACAGCCTCTCAAGCAGGCGTGACAGTGGAGGAGGCCGCCCTGGCCGCTGGAGCAGCTGCGGCAGCGGCCGCAGCAAACGCAGGCTTGCCTGCGCAGAGCCAGGCGTCACTCGCAGGATTAGCAGCTGCAGCAGCAGTAAGTGGCGCGAATGCGACAGTGCAGCAAGCGGCCGAGCTGGCTGGGGCTGCAGCAGCTGCTGTGGCCGTGGCTGCAAACATGACCATGGCGAACATCTCGTATGCAGCCGGACTTGCAGCAGCCGAGGCAGCAAGTGGTGTAGGCGTTAGTGAACAGACAGCCTTGGCAGCCACTGCTGCAGCATCTGCTGCGATCCAACATGGCGACGCGAGTTTGCAATCTCAGACACTGCTGTCAAGTGCAGTTGTAGCGGCAGTCCTTGCCAGTGCCGGCGTCAGTGGACCAGATGCAGCTCTGATCAGTGGTGCAGCCATTCAGGCAGCCTTGCTCATGAATGTCAATTGTTCCGCAGAGGTTATCCGGCAAGTGGGTGGCGCAGTAATGACCACAGTACAACCGACGAACTTGAGTGCCGGGGATCAAGCAGTGCTTTCAGGGCAAGCGGCAGCGGTCGCGGCTGCGAACTGCAATATGTCCGCCGTCTTACAAGCAGAGCTCGCCGCCGAGGTTGCAGCAGCAGCAGCGGCACTGGCCAACCTTTCGGTTGAGGAGCAGGCCTCGATTGCAGGGCAGGTTGCAGCATCTACAGCCTCTCAAGCAGGCGTGACAGGGGAGGAGGCCGCCCTGGCCGCTGGAGCAGCTGCGGCAGCGGCCGCAGCAAACGCAGGCTTGCCTGCGCAGAGCCAGGCGTCACTCGCAGGATTAGCAGCTGCAGCAGCCGTAAATGGCACCAATGCGACAGTGCAGCAAGCGGCCGAGCTGGCTGGGGCTGCAGCAGCTGCTGCGGCCGTGGCTGCAAACTTGACATCAGATGAGGCGCGCTCCACATGCTTTCTTGCATACGAGAAGCGACTACTAAGTGACTATGCCGCCTGGACCTCCAACGGAGCATCCCACCCAAAGAAATTGAGCCTTTACATCCTATGCGGGTTGGTGGTCTCTTTAAGTAGGTACATTCGGATTATTAGGGTATTTAATTTAATTAGGGGCTATATTAAGGTATGAGGGGAACAGATAAAGAGGCCACCGGCCGAAAAAAAATCAACATCCCGTAGGACGGGAAATGCGCCTGAACCTGCTTTAAAGGTCCGAGCTTTTGCAAGGGACCTTTTCATCACGCGCATGTCGCCTGGGATCCGGACCCCTAAACCCTAAACCCTTAACCCTTATAAACCCTAAACCCTACCTTACTGGGGGTCCTCATGATAAGGGATGTGGTCCAGAGTCCAGATTAACTCTTCTCATTAAAGCCCTTATAGGATTCTTAGGCAACCTACCAAAAAAAGAGGTTTTGGGTTCTTAAGGTAGAGGCACACCCTTGTCCCCGGAGGTGGCAGACGCCGCTCAGAGCGCTGTTGGCCAGGTGGGTTCTTCTGCCGGTCTGGGAGATGAGGCGCCCGAGATCTGTGCAGGGCCTTTGGGGTTTAGGGCTGTTCCGGGTTTAGGGTGAGCCTTTAGGGCTTTTGAAGTTTTTTTTGTGGTTTAAGGTTTATAGGAGGATTTCGGGCATGTGGGTCCAGTTAAGTGAGGGTGCAATTTCATCTTTGCCCGTCAGCAAGACTCGCATATCGAGTCTGACGCTTTGTGGGACATGTGGTGAAGGGTTTCAGGGTTGAGGTTAGCGGACCCTTTTGGAGGATCCAGAAAGTAGAGCCCCCAAATAGTGCCCTATAGGGTTTAGGGTTTAGGGTTTAGGGTTTAGGGTTTAGGGTTTAGGGTTTAGGGCTACTGGGTCATTCTTAGGAATCCTTCGGGGGAATCTACTTTTGGATCCTCCCAGGGTCTCTTTTGGTTTGGCGATGCCGACTGGGGCCACCCGTTGCTGCTCTCGCATGCAGTGTCGTCATGAGCTAAAGTGAGATTGTCTAGGTTGGTTTTTGGGTTGTTTTTTATTTTCCTTATTTGGGTTTATAAGGGACCCTGTATATAAATATTTTCCAGAGGGTTTAAAGGCCTACCCAGTTGTGGCATTTAGGATTCTAGGCTCGAGGGGTATCGCAGGATTTTGCAGTACATGTGTGTGACTGCCATGCTCATACCACCCAAACTGGTAGACCAAGCATAAGATGTCTCTTGCGTTATGTTTGGTCTTGCTACTGTTTCCTGGAAGCGGAGGAGTTGCCGAAGAACGTATTCTTGATCTTGAGAAAGGGTCATTCATCCGGACCGGAGTTGTTCGTAGTCATAGTTGGGTACCATCTTACATTTGTAAGGGTACTTAAACCCAGTAAGGAATAAACAAGTAGATTTTTAACATTATCCCACCACCAGTTTTGAGGCCTGTTGGATTCAGCACTAATAACGGTTTTGAGGAAAATCTTCAGATGGACCCACGGCTGGCAGGAGCTTGCTCAGCTGACCTCGGACGCCCTGATACGCACCTGGGTGAGACCTACTAACTTTAATGAAGCTTAGGGGCTGGGTAGTTAACCTTTATCCTGTTTGGTTTGTATATATACAGATATATTGCTACTACAAAAAAGGTTCACTTTTTTGGGGGCTCAGGTATTCAGCCCCTATGTAAGAGTTTATTGAACAGTTCAGGGTGCTTCTTTTGAATCAGGGGCCCCTACACCTCAAGAAACAAACCCCACCCAAGGAGTCTGAGCGTGTGAACCAGTGTGGCCGATTCGACAAAGCAACCGATCTGTTTTTTTGGTTTTATGCTGGTTGCGGGGAGGGGTGGCACGTAGCTTTGTTTGTTGAACTCCCTTAACCCTATAAACCCCAAACCCTAAACCGTGTTGGGATCTTCAAGGTTACTTTGCATAGGGCTCAGAGTAAGACCAGGCGATAAACCAACAAAAGCTCAGTAGTTTATGCTTCGAAACCGGTGAATGTTGAAGCCATCTCCGGTGAAGCTCCGAAGCTCAGGTATTTAGGGTTTGGGGTTTAGGTTGGGATGTTCCCCCGTATACTAACAGTCCTTAATAAGGCTTATAATAGGGGGTACTATAATCCCTATCAAGGACTGTTAGTATAAGGGGGAACATCCCGAGGTTTAGGGTTTTCGAGGCTGATGACCTGCAACCCTGTTTAGGGTTCAGGGCTCCGGGGTTTACCCCCAACACCGAAGACCTTGCGGGCGGGCTTGAGGCTATTCAGGGCTGGTCTATTCAACCTCAGGGGCTTGTGCCTAGGGTTTAAGGTTTTGTGCCTGGTGTTTAGGTTGCGGGAATGTTTTGCAGGTACGCGCTGCCAGCTGCCACAGACCATCGAGGACAACTCGAAGCCATAAGTGGGCCATAAGCCAACCTTTCTACCCGATGAAGGGAATGAAGAGACATACTACGCCTAGTCATCCCCTTGAAGGTCGGTATGTAGCCGCCACGCACTGAACCCACGTTCCCCCCCCCCCCCCCCCCCCCCCCTTCACCCTATCACCCCGACAAAGTCTTCAACCCTTGCTACGGTTGCCCTTTGCTGGGCTTCGGCTTTTGTAATGAAAAGTAGCACCAAAAATGTCCCTTTCCCAATACATCATGATGGAGGAGTGTAGTTTGCACTATGCAGGGGTTCTTATGATTGTTTTAACTTCCACAGCTTATAGGGTCTGTTCCAATGCCCCAAAATTGCGGGGCATTGGGCTCTCTGGGTACCCAAGACCAAACCCGCAACCTGAACCCTACAGCCGCACCCCTAAACCCTCGGCTACAACCCCTTCAAGCAGTACAAGCCTACAAGCCCCATAAATCCGATCAACTCTATATACCCTATAAGCCCTATAAGCCCTCCGATTAAAGACCCTATAAGCCCTATAAACCCTATAAACCTTATCAGCCCTAGAAGCCCTAGAAGCCCTAGAAGCCGCCCCATGTAAACCCTCACCCCGAAACCCTAAACCCTGCCACCCTGCAATCCTCAACAAAAAGGAGCTGCTTTGCCTTGAGACATGCGCGGCACGGGCCGGTACCATGGCCACCCGGCCTTGAGAGCCAACTAAAGGGTTAGGGTTTAGGGTTTAGGGTTTAGGGTCTAGGGTTTAGGGTTTAGGGTTTAGGGTTTGGGGTTTAGGGATTAGTGCTTTGTGTGTTTCTAGGGCTTAGGGTCTAGGACGTGGGACTGCTCTCTGGCTTGCCACAACCCTGCCAATTTCCCTCCTCTTCCCCTCTCCCCGGCGCTCCCTCCCCCCTCCTCCCCCCTGCATTCTCCAGCAAGCAACTCCCGATGTCCATAGTATGCCAAGGACGTCTCGCGCTCGGATTCACTGCACTCTACGCTGTTGGATCATTCAGATGTTGGATTCGTCTGATGCCACCCTAAACCCTGAAGGTCCCCTTTCGCATTCTCGGCAGGACATGGTATTCCCTTGTGGTCCCTTTATACTTATACGATAATACCCGCCAAACCCTATCCCAATTATGAAGGCCCCTACAAGAACCCTAAACCCTAAGCCCTAAGCCCTGGACCCTAAGCTCTACACCCTAAACCCTTCCTACAAAGTTCAGGTCCTGGACAGTTCCGACACGCTTCGTTGCTCCGATCTTACCGTGCTCGCCAGCAGCTCAGTCTGGTTCCGGTGGTCCGAGCTATTCAAATGAACCCCCCTTTTTTGGGGGGTGTAGGGTTTAGGGGTTAGGGTTTAGGGTTTAGGGCTACTAGGACCCGGAGCAGGCCCTTATTTCTTTTTTGACTTTTAGGGTTTAGGTTCCCTTATAATCCCCTTAAGGCACCCTTTTTGTTCCTAGGTTACGCCTGGGTCTAGTGAACGTGAAGTGATGGCTTGTAGGTTGTACCCAAAACCCTCGTAGCTGGTATTCACTGCTTTTTAGGGCGTCCGACTTGTTTCGGAGGCTCATCCCCCCGCAAAAAAATCTGCAACAGCAGGCCTACCCGGAACCCCTCAGAGTATTCGTAATGATGGCCTGCAGCTCAAAAAACGTTCAGGGTTTAGGGTTTAGGGTTTAGGATTTAGGGTTTAGGGTAAACAGTTCTATCTAGAGCAATGCTTCTACCCATCAAAGGTCTCTAGGTATAGGCTGTCGTTTATGAGTCAGCCTGCTGGGGCTCGATGTATGAGGCCGTTGGGTTCTATGTGTTTTTCAGCCCTACAAAAGTGTGCCAGTCTCATCTCGCAATCCTTCCCCCTAAACCCTAAACCCTAAACCCTAAACCCTAAACCCTAAACCCTAAACCCTAAACCCTAAACCCTAAACCCTAAACCCTAAACCCTAAACCCTAAACCCTAAACCCTAAACCCTAAACCCTAACCCTAGACCCTGAACCTTCAGTCTTGCAGTAGTAGCTTGAGAATTTCTCACTCCAAGCCCGCTCCAGGCCATTGCGAACGTGACTTTCAACATTGATTTCGAGCGACTCGGTGGAGGTTTGGGCAGGCGGCTGTTCCCTAAACCCGATTCAGACACCCTGAACCTGCATGGTTTTGGAGGATCAGAATCCTAGAAGCCTATGGAAGAGTAGGTGTTGAGCTCTCAAGGTAGAAGCTGAACCCTAAACTTTAAACCCTAAACTTTAAACCCTAAACTTTAAACCCTAAGCTTTAAACCCTAAACTTTAAACCCTAAACTTTAAACCCTAAACCCTAAACCCCAAACCCCAAACCCTAACCCCCAAAACCCATTGCCATGTCCTTCCTTGGCACACTAGGCTCCGCCACGCGGACTTTGCGCGAAGCCTGCTTGGAGGTCTCGCGGGCGCGCTCAACGCTGCTCCGGGGAGCCTGGGCTGTTTAGGGTTTAGGGTTTAAGTTTAGGGTTTAGGGTTTAGGGTTTAGGTTTTAGGGTTTAGGGTTTCTCGTCGGTTACCCAGAAATCTGATAAGAGCGGCTTTCCGGGAATCACTTGTGAAATAGTAAACCCTAAACCCGAAACCCTAAGTACGATACGGGGTTCGCTTCAAGGTGGGATTTATCCACACTGGGGGGGGGGGGGGGGGGAGGAAAGGGGTGGAGGCGGGGCCGGGGGCGGGGGGTCGCACCCGAACGCCCGTAAGGTTTATGGTTTTGGGTGTAGAGTGTTTAGACAGTTTCGGGTTCAGGGATGTCTCGGGGTTGATTGTGTAAGGGTTTTCAGGGAAGTTGGCCCACGTGAGCCAGAAACGTGCTGCAAGCACCTTCCCCTAACACACTAAACCTTAAGCCCTTCAGCTCAGAAACCTAAGCCCTGAAGTCTAAACTCGGAACCCTGTATCCAAACCCTGCAGTTATATAGGGCCCATAACCCAAAGTCAAGGGATTGCTGCTAATGTGGCCCTTCTACTACCTAACCCAAGGCTGCAACCTTAAAGGCCCAAGGTACAACCCCTAAACCCTAAGCCCTAAACCCTAAACCCTAAACCCTAAACCCTCAACCCTGAACCCTAAACCCTAAACCCTAAACCCTAAACCCTAAACCCTAAACCCTAAGCCCTAAGCCCTAAACCCTAAACCCTAGGCAGCTGGCCTTGGCGTCCATGCGCCCAGGGTCGCTGGTCGCCGCGGTAGCAGCGCTGGCTGCCCCAGGCCGCTGCTGGGGAAATCCTCACAAGTCTGGTGCAGGGGCTTAAGGTTTAGGGTTTAGGGTTTAGGGTTTAGGGTTCAGGGTTTAGGGTTTATGGCTGCAGAACGGCTACAAGGAGTTGCCAACAATGCCGACTCCTTAAAAAGGATAGAGATCTCCTAGACTAGGTTGAAAGGTCTGGAGCCTGGAGTGTAGGGTTTAGGGTTGTTAAGGTTATCTTAGGGTTGATACCGTTAGCCTGTAAGTAATGTCAGTTCTGCTGGAGTGCGAAGGGGGAGAGCGGCCTCACTCCTCATGCAGGCTTGCCAGCACACGAAAAGCCGGGAAAAGGAAAGGGACCAAGATTGTTTCTGGTTACTAACAACTGCCTTTTTGGTCCCCTTCAGCGGCGTAAGCAGAGAAACCCTACTCTTCGCCAGGTGACTCCTCCTTGCTTCAGGGGGCCTCATTAGGTTTAGGGTCAAGGGCCGTTTGGGGTTCTCGGGTTGTTTGTTGCACTTCCCCAAGTATTGCATCGCAACCCTGCCGCCCCAACCCCCAACCCCCAACCCCCAACCCCCAACCCCCAATCAAATTCTCCAAATCACGCGGCGTCCAGATGAAAGCGCCAAACAAAACTCAACCCGACCCTATAAGCCCTAAACCCTAAACCCTACTGAACCCCCAAGACATCAGGCGACTCCAGTGCGACACATCTTGTCGGACAACTCCAGGAGAAGATTTCGGGCTTAGGGAGTTTAAACCGTCTCCAGGGCTTTAGGGTTTAGGGTTTAGGGTGGCTGGTTCTTAGTAGGGAATGAGGGAACTGTTGCCCTATTTATATGCCCTTCACCCCAAACCTTGCTCGGGGCCCAAGAAACCTTACAGACAGAGGGATCCTACTCTTGGGGTACAAGGGCCCCCACAAGGGGTATTCTGAAGAATCCCGTTTGTAGGGATCCTTCTGTTCATGTGTTTTTTTGGGCCCCTACTTGCATATACCCAAAAATGCCGAATGAAGCTGAACTCTGGGACTGCAGCAGAGTCCTATACCTGAAGCCTGAATGCGGTCCTCACAATATGGATGGGGTGGTTGTCGGCAGTGTTTCCGGTTCAGGTCTAAGGTAGGTTTTAAGTTTGTCCCCCAAAGAGCCATGGTGTTGGGAAGCTTCTTTCAGATCTCAACATCCGCGAAAGACGGGTCAAGATCAATCTTGGAGCCATTTCTAGGCCTTTCCACAATTCCTTCACACTCCATCCCTTCCTACTACTACAAAACCCCCCCCCCCCCCCCCCAAACAAATGTAAATTCGTTTGCTCCCAGTACTACATGGAATCACCGCAATGGGAATGTACGGCGTTTCCAGATCCGCTGAGCCCTCTAAACTCGAAGCCCCACTGGGAAGGAGACCTTAAACTTGAAGCCTAAATCTCAGACTCCGGAGACTCTAAACTCCCTCGATCGGAGAAGCCCTTCATCCGCTAAAGCCCCAGACCCACACGAAAACCCCTGTCACAGGAGTTCGTGCGGAACGCAAGTCCACTGCAACTTTTTAAAAGACCGAAACCCCAAAACATCTAACCCAAGAACCACCCTGAATGCCTTAAACCCTATTGCCATAACCCCAAGCCCTAAACCCTCAACCCTAAACCCTAAACCCTCAACCCTAAACCCTAAACCCTAAACTATACATCTCATCGTCATCTCCCTGGAAGGAGCTGTCACTGCTCGGCTCCTTCGGAGGTGTCGAGGCCTACTGGCATCTCATGCCGAGGGTTAGGGGTTTTGAAGGTTTAGGGT